TACTGTTTGAAGGCACCTGGCTGCCTTTGCTCTTTTTCCTCCTGTCAGTCATGCCTCTCATCTCACTAAGAAGGATGATTGCCAATAATGCTCAGGGTGGTAGTTTCAAGTGTTGGAGGGTGTAGAAGCAGGACCTGGTAAGGAGGGCTGGAGAGGCAGACTGAGGCTTAGAAGATAAGGTCAGGGTGTTGCTATTTATCCTGAGGAAGGAGCCACCGAGCCATGTTATGTGGCAAGCCATATTGTCTCCCTGAGGCGTAGGACCAAGTCTAATAACTGCTGTTTGTACAATGAGTGGGAAAGGGAACAGTGCTCTCCAGACATGTCACATGCTTCCTTTGTCCCCAGCTGGTGGCCTCTTTGCTGCTCAGCATCACCCCTAGTCTGAGCAATCTATAAGGCCATTTCTGCCTGTAAGGGAAAAGCCAGGTCTCCAGTCTCTAGGCTCCTAGTTGGTACTGAGGATGTTTGTTAGCTTAGAAAGCTGGGTATGATGAACATAAATACTAGGACCTTCTCATCTCTTTGTTGTGCTCTCCCACCATCATCAGGGGGTCTAAAAGATAATCAGGGTAAAGCAATGAAAAAAATACTAAATGGGAAGCAAAGGACTGGTCTCCCTAGAACACCTGTGTCCTGGCATTGGCCTAAAGGGGCTTTCTGCCAGCTGCTGTTCCAATTGATGCAAACACGGAGCTCTATGTAGGAGAAAGTACTGACTTATGCACGAGTAAAGGGATAATGGAGCTGGGGTCTCATATGAACCCAGCTTAGTCTAGCATCTGGGAAGAAGCTACTTGCATTTCTGACTCCTCCAAAGGCTGCCCGTCTCTGAGTCAGCACATGGAAGCCTTTGTTGACTTGTGACTGCTACACCTGGACCTGTTTACTCCTTCCCAAGAGCAAAAGAGAATGGAGTATGAGAATGGTCTGCCTGCCTTAGTGCCTTTTCATGCCTAGCTTATCTCCAGGAGCTGCAGGATGGCATGGGTGGCCATCAAAAGCTCATAACTTGTGGAGACAGAATCACTGTGTTGGTTAGTTTTATGTCAGTGTGACACAGGCTAGAGTTATCAGGGAAGAGGGACACTCAGCTGAGAAAATGCCTTCATAGGATTGGCCTGTTGTGTATTTTCTTGAATGATGATTGATGTGAGATGGCAGTGCCACCCCCAGGCTGGTGGTTCGTCCATAAGGAAGCAGTCTGGGCAAGCCACGAGGAGCAAGCCAGTACGTAGCATTCCCCCATGACCTCTTCTTCAGATCCTACATCCAGATTCCTGCTTTGAGTTCCTTCCCTGGCTTCCCTCAGGGATTGTGACCTGAGAATTATAAGCTGAAATAAACCCTTTCTTACACAAGTTGTTTTTGGTTTTGGTATACTATCACAGTAATAGAAACCCTGACTTTGTAAGACAATCACTGTACACTTGGTTGTAGCATGAATAATAAAAACCCAGAAACACATATATTACTCAAGCTACACTTGGTGAAAGATTGGTCAGTGGTCTAGGAGACTGGGAACATAGGCATCTGGGTGGTGAAATAACCATTAGACTATGAGCCTAGGTACTAAGTGCTGTATTTGCAACAAGCCTTGCTCCAATAACATTATGCTAACACCCTTGTCTCTGTTCCCTGCCAGATGCCAATTCACCAGAATCTCAAGGAACTTCTGGCTGTCAAGGTTGAGCTGCAGAAGCGTGTGGAGGACCTACAACGGGAGGTGGCCACACGAACCATCTCATCTTCTTCTGAGAGGGGCTCCTCGCCTACCCACTCAGTCACTCCTGTCCACACTTCGGTCTGATGGACAAGGGTAGTGTCCTGGGCCATCCTGCTGCTCTACTGTCTTTCAGCAGCTCAGGAAGCAGACCATTGATGTTATGGTTCTAGCTTGTCATTTTAGGGTTAGGTCCGGAGACCATTTGTGTGGTTAGGTGGCAGCTCCTGTTGCTAACAAACACTTCTTTTGTGTGAACAGCCTGTGACCCACTTGAGGGCAGTCTCATAGGGAAGCAATATGCCATACCCACCATGTGAACTACCTTGTCTTGTACAGGTAGCTTGGGAGAAGCTATATTGAATGCAGTGCAGTATTTCATCTTAAGAGGATCTCATACCACTTCTTTCCAAGTTAAGTCCTTTGTTAGGAATAATCTGTTCAATATAGAACACATTGTCAGCCATGTGGCTTCTCTCAGCCTTTGGCACAATTTGAAAACTGTTTTTAAAGGAAATGTTAGTGTGGCAAATGGACCATTGCTACCTGTTCTATAGTTATCTTCATGCAAGAAGTCCTCCTGTACAATTGGTACAATATGTACTGCTGTGTACATACAAGGTATTTTTTAAAGAGAAACATACCTTTATTTTCCTATGCCCTTTTTTATGTTTAGAATAGTTGTCTCAGGAGTCATCTGCTGAACTGTGCTGTATGAGAAATTCTTGCCCAACAGAATTCATGATGACTTTTGTGTGGTACATTTGAATTAAGATTTCAGATGTGTCATCTCAGTGGCAATGTAGTATTGTCCTGTAACTCTGGTACTTGTTTTTTGAGGTGGCACAAGCCATTCATTCATTGGTAGAGGTAGCAGCAGGTTCCCTCAGGATATAGCAAACTATGCATGCTTGTTCATGGTAAAGTGAGGACTCAAGCAGCAATTCTGCGTATGTGTTGGCCTCCCTCCATGACAGCTCTCTAAAGGATCAAGTCTTGGGAATTTCTCTGGCCATTGGACCTTGCATCTTGCCACCTGTTGAGATGTCTAGCACCCATGTCAGAGCAAGTCTGCTTTCACCTGTTAGATACCTGGACACCATGTCTTCATGTATCCCAGTCTCTTCTCAGTTTCTTCACATGGCTGCCTGTCCATACCTTAAAGCAACCATTGTGTTACAGCTTTGCCTAGGAAATCATAGCATGCTCTTCCTTGGTTTTCCTTTCTCAGAGCCAGCCCTGGCTATCCAGGCCATTCTCCATTGTTAGCAAATGATCCCTGATACTCCATCAGTCCTTCTAGGAATGAATTCCCCATCAGCTCCTCTGTGTGCAGTGCCAGCATCCCCACTCCCATTGCTATGCCCATTTCTGCATGTCACCAGGTTCTTCAGAGTTGGAGATGTGTTTGAAGCTGACAGAGCCATCCCCTGAGCATAGATCACATCTTCCCCTGGTCATTGTCGAATCACTGGATGCCATTAAGTCCTACATGTTGACCTCCATTTCCAAAATGTATTCTTAAAGAGTTTTCTACAACTGAATGCATAGAAAATAGATGATTATTCAACTTGGAACCTTCTGATTGTTATAGAAAACTATCCAACCTTAAGATAACCAGAGACATTTATTCAAAGTTTCGTAAGCTAAGATCAAGTCTCCATTTTTATCATCTGGGGGATTTGTTTCTAAACAATAGTTCAAATGATATTAGCTTTTGATTTACTCTCCTCAAATATACAAAATATTATTTGTAAATGGATAAACTGCCATGTCTAAGGTACGACTGCTGTGAGTTCAGGGCCAGCTTTGGCTATATATTGAGTTCTGTACCAGCTGGGCTATATTGTGGAACCCTGTCTCAAAGTCAGTACCAAAAAGAAAATAACATAAACTACACTATTTTTTCCTTCATATGCTTTTTTAAACTGGGAACATTAAACAATTTTCCCTAGAAATATTGTGTAATTCCCCAGCAACAATAGGACTATTAAACATTGGGTGGACTGGATGATGCTTTGACAGAAGCAGAGAAGCCATGCGGGCCGCTGCTTGGTAAGGTCAGCTAGCCTGGTACAGATGACTGGTGGAATGGGGATCTGGTCCTGATCATGCCATGTCCTCCCAGCTGTGTGTCTGTAGCACCCCTAGAAATTTCCATTGGATTTTAAAGAAGCACAAGAGAGTATTTCCCTTTGTATGTTTCTAGCACAGAACTGTTTCTAAAACAACTTGAAGTGTAGTTTTCTTATCTAAGCAATTCTTTCATGTTTATTTTATTTAAATACTAGAGTGTAAAACCTTTAAGGTTCAGATTTTTAAACAACTAGTACAATACTGTATTTGCCTCATCTGATGCACTGTATTCCAACCTGTAATTAAAATTATAATATGTTTGCTCCCTGGTCTTTTTGTTGTTTCTCTCTCTTAACCATTCTAGTAGGCTTTTCCCCCTCTGAAGAAAATAAGTACTAATAAAGTACTATGTGTTGAATGCTTACTATGCGCCTGGCACAGTTAAAAGTGCCCAGTGCGATTTGATTGACTTACTAAGTTGTTAGTGATTTATTGTGAATCTTAAGTGTTTGGGCTAGAACAGGTAAATGGTCTGATTTTCAAATCTGAAAGTTCCCTTGTTCATAACCTTGAAGAAATGTTGAAGACAGAGAAAGACCGAGACTGACCAGGGAAGTGGGTCCTCCTCATGCAAATGTAGTGTTCATTTGGTCCTTGCCAGCTCTACGGGACTGTGTACTTTTTCAATGTTCTAAAACCTAGTGTGAAATCACACCATCTCCTGTGTGTCACCATTCTTTAAGGGTCTGGCATTACTCATCCTCTTCTTGTAAATCATGGCTGAGTTAGCAAGAGAGCCCAATATTAGGCAGAAGAGGGTTGGACTACCTCACAGACCACTACCTGTAATAATGCCCACCACAGAATAAAGCACACTCATTCCTGGCTCAGTTTCCGGATTGAGCAGTGTGCTCCAGAGCTATCAGGGTGGTGGATCCAATGCTGATCCTCCCAAAGGAATTGATGGCGTGGCAAGGGTGCTCTGCTCTGGCCTCCCCTTCATTCCAGTATGTCAGACATGTTCCTGTACCATGTGAGTACACCAGCAGAAGCCCTGAGATTGAGCACTTTGTGGGAGGAATAATAGCAAAATGCTAACCTGCCCAAGACACACCTTTGGTTAGGGAGAGGGGAATGAGGTCAGTACCATATCACAAATGACAGTAGGGAAAGACAGACAGAATCAGAACACAAGGGGCTGTTGGATTCCTTTTTGTTTAATGCAAACAGTAAACCATTTACAATTCACACTTGGACACAAGCACGTAAAATGATGTACAGGGATTCTGGCAGTCTCCAGCACATCTTCCTTGGACAACTGGTACCAACCACAACCCAAGTGGCTGCGACAATGGGCCTGCCCCACACCAGAGTGGGCAACCCCCTACATCAAGCCACTTGAGAACGTTGAGCTTTTTAAAAGTTCTTCCTGTCAGGTCCCACTAAGAGGTCTGATCTTGGCAATTGGCTCTTCTGCTTCATTTGCATTCTCCCTTCTATCACCTGGGACTAGCCCAAGTTGAGCAACTCAGCCTTCACGGGGGACATAGTTACAAGACCAGTCCCAAGACTTCTGCAGGCCACAATGCCCCAGCAAGAATAAAATGCCAGAGGGAAGGAGAAGCCCGGCCCCTGGGATGAGACTTTATGAACAGGAGGCCGATGACCCGCCCAGGCCTGTCCAGCCACTTAGCTAGCGCCTGTGGGCTGAGTGATGGGTTTTATGCAGAAGGGCTTTTATGCAGAAGGCACCGAGGTAGCTAAGGGAGAGCAAAGTAGAGCTCTTTTTCACTGGAACCAGTGCTATTGAGAAAAGTTTCACAAGAGGGCATTTATTTTACATCATGGCTGTGGGGTTCGAGGGTTTTGCCATCCGACAGGCCTCAGCATAAAGGTAAAGTACATAACCCCCCTGAGATTGCCTTAGCTACATGTCAACAGCCAGAGATTCTAAAAGTCTTCCTTAAGTCACTTCTAGCTCAGCACTGGCCAGAGGGTGGCACCATTTCTTGATTTCCTTGATGCTAGTGACTCACAATCCTGACAAAGTTGACAGCAATCTGACCAACAAGTTAGGAAGTTCTGGAAACTGACACATCTTGCAAGCAATGCCTCCATTGCTAATTAACTCCTGAAGAATAAAGGGGGCTTCCTGAGGCCATGGCTTTTCCATCTTGGTGCCATTTCCCCAGTGTTCCAGCCCCCTGTCAGATCTACAGACCTAGTCTGCCTGGGACCAAAGGCCAGTCAAGAGGGGCATCTCATAGCCCACAGGTACACATGGGGGGGTTCAGGCTACCTGGACACATGACACAGCAGCATCCCTCCACCATGAGTAGTCTTTAAACAACACACACACTCAAGGCATGCATTAGACAGCACAAGATTTCAGTGGTTTCTTAAAATAGGTGTTGCCTCATCCCAGCTCAGCAGATGTGAAGGAGCCAATTCACAGCCTGTGGAATATATGGGGCCATCGTGTCGTCCAGAGGAGCTGTGAGTTTTGTAAGTAGGATCTTGCCTTCCCAGTAACACACTCTGCTTTCTGAAGTGCTTTTGACATGACAACTATTACTTCACGTTACATTAGCTTAGCTTTCAACTGCAGGGTTCACTGCAGAGCTCACTGGAGCCAAGGGCCAAAAGCCAAAGAAACAGTCCAAGAAGTAGCCAGCTCTGGCCCAAACTAGGTGGTAGCAGGCATCTCTGGGCCAGGTGAAGCCCTAGTCCTTGGTTTCCTGTGTTTAGCACTGTGAACACAGCCAGAGCCCTCTTCATCATAGCAGACAGGGAGGATAGCAACACAACTACAAAGGCAGCAGCGATATTCCACTCAGCTAAGCCAGCTTTCCCCCCTACCCCCACCCTCTACTTTCCCCACCTGCTTCTAATAAAGCAGCAATCACGCTTCTGGTTTCCATGTTCATTCTCAGGATTGTAGCTCTTGCTACTCAAATAAGATCATGTAAAGTGTAGGGGAGAGCACCTACCCCCACCTGGTAGAAAATCCGTTTCCAATGCAGAAGTTACCAGGTCAGTCAGAGACCCTTATGGAACCTGATGGGAATCAAGCCTACAAGTCACAGCTCCCACGTTCTCCAGATTTCTAAACGCAAGGTGAGACTACTATGAGATGCATGTTTGCACTAAAATAACCGAAGAGCCCTCACATGGACAAGCTCTCTGGAAGTTGAGCAATGCAAAACCAGAAGTTGGAAAGAACAGTACATCTTTAAAAAATGCTTAGGCGGTGTGTGTGTGTGTGTGTGTGTGTGTGTGTGTGTGTGTGTGTGTGTGTGTGTGTGTGTGTGTGTGTTGCAGCTTGGTGCTTGCTGACTTCTTACAGGGGCTCTACATGTACCAAATGCTAGCTGAGCATCCTTCTTACAGCTCTTAGTGGTCAGTGCCACAACAACCCCTCTGGCACAGAGGTAAAGTGTCTCATAGTACCTAGGAATTGCATAAGCAGAAATGCTCGATTTTGGCACTGTCCCCACCATCCTCTTGTTTACCCTCACCTTGGTCTCCCTGATTTTTCCCATGTGCAGGCTGGAGCAGGTTGTCTCTATGACCCAGCAACTTCCAATACTGGTGATCTGCTCAAGGTGGGTCTCAAGTTTCAGCACCAAGTCTCTTCAGAGGACCTGGGGCAGAGCAGTCACCATACTTTGAAGGACAGGGCACAGAAACTACAGTCATGAACACCTAAGGCTTGTCCAGAAAATTCAGTACAATAAGAAGCCGGTGGTATGGGAAGAAAGTTGAAGAAAGTGTCAGCAAATGAAATCTGGAGCTGGGTCACAAACAGTGGTACCCTTCCTGCGCACCTGCCACTGAACGGGGCCTCAGATCCGGGGTGGCTCAGAGGGTGGTGGCTCCGCAGACTGTGTTTCTTGTTTTGAGTATGTCACTAGGGAGAGAAGACATTTGTTAGGAGAGTTTCAACCTATGCTCTACAAAAGTGCTGTTAGCAATTTAGTCCCATGTTGTGTGGGCAATTGAGCACATTGCAGGCCTTCTCACTGCCTTCTGTAGAGACTGCCATGTACCCTGGATGAAAAGTTCAGGGTGGGTCAAGGGGAGTAAAGGCAGAAGCCTGTCAGGCTGCACAAGAGTTCTGCCTCCTTTTCCTCATCTAGAAAATAAGAATGGTTCTGCCAAAACTTCTGGATTACTGGATCTGTAGCATTCCGCATAGCATTCTACCCTTGGGTGTTCACTCAGTGTTGATTATAGTATCAAAATTGTGATGGAATGCTCCTATAGAATCCACAACTCTGCATCTGCATCCAGGACTATTTCCATACATCTGGTGCTACACTACCAGATAACTTATATAAGCAGTGACCTGGGGACTTCATTCTCCATTATAAAACAGGTATGACCACATCATTCCTCAGCACACCTGCTGCCCTGCAGCTCTGGTCTCTTCTTGTCTGTGCCACCATAGGCTCAGCCAAAGGAGAACAGGCTAACCTCACTGCCTCATGAAACCATACCTCCCTATCAGCATTCTTGGGTCACAGGAATGTCTGTCTCCTTCGCTTTTGGCCTTACCATATGTGACCTCTAATTTCCCCTAGTTACTGAATCCCAAAAATGCTCAATGACCCCAGAGAGGGTAATAGAAATTTGGCTTTTTAACTATGTGCCTCATTGTTTTTAGCCATTTTTCTAATTGAAAGGTCTAGACACAGATGTAGACCCATGCCAGAATCCAAGAACTCAGGAGACAGAAGAACAAGATCAGGAATACAATGTTACTTCCAGCTATATAGTGAGTTTGAGGCCAATCTTGGCTACCTGAGACCCTGTCACAAACATACAAAAATTAAAAACAAATAGGCTATAGGTTAGGTTAGAAGCAAAACCTTACACAGCTCAGGATGATCATGCCCAGGATGTATGTGAGTCTTCTGGAAAAGATGTAAATTGTCCCAGGCACATTCAGATGATTCAATAGTTGGGACTGAGCAACAAAAGTACCTAGAAGTCATCACCATGGCACCAGTGTTTCCATTATCAAGAAACAGGGAGGCCAGCTGACCAATCACAGGACACAGACAGACCTGGGCCTCTGAAGATTTTGTGATGAGCAGACATTACAGGAACGGATTCTTCTGGGCCTCCCTAACCCAGTTCTATTCAGTGCTGGAGTCACTGAATTTGGAAAGCCTTCAGCAGGCGATAGTGATGGAGAAGTCCTCACCTTGGGGTTCCTCACATACAACAGCTTCCAGGTTCTCCCCCTTCACGTAGTCTGCATTGAGGCCTTCTGCAAAGAGCAAGAGCAAAGTAAAGGAGGCACAAGGAAACAAAGGAATCCCTCACTAACTGAGTACTTTATGGCAGTAAACCCTTCTGGAATCAGCCCCTGTCCCTGGATCACTAGCATATCATCTTCTAGATAAAGACTGGCCATCAAGGGATGTATTGCCCAAGACTTCTCATCACATCCTTGCAAACAGCATCATGCATCAAAGGCCCAACCCGCCCCTTCCATAAAGGGCCACTGCCACCATGTCAAGACAACAGCTCTATCCAGCAAAGAGGGTATCAGATGGCAGGGCTCTGGACCATCCATAGGACCACAGTAGGCCCAGAGTCCAGGGAGTTGGAGAGGAAGCAAAGAGCTAAGGGAATGACTGATGGACACAGGGTAAGGAAGGAAGATATGGATGTGCAGGGCTCACTCTGGAAATACCAGCAGATGACCTTCCCAGCAGCACCTGCATGCACAAGGAAGCCAAGTAGCTTCTCCTGATTGCTATCCCCTCCCATCTTGGAGGGCCCAGTGTTTACAAATAGTTGTCCCAGTCTAGTTTGTGATCTGGGTCTCTCCACACCCACATTATCCTCAAGAGCAACGAAGCAACTCAATAAAGCATCCTCTTCACTTGGCCAGAGGCCATAACTCAAGGACTTGGAGCAGCCCAACACCCCAGTTTGTATAAGGGTCAGAGTCTTCTGTGTCTTCTCTCTCAATAACTGAAGGCCTGCAGGGAAAATGGACTCTTATTCTAACTAACCAACTCACTGGACACAAATCATTTTCCTGGCTTTTATCTGACTTAATAGCTGTTGGGTTCAAAGTGAAAGCCAGCTGGGCCTGTGAAACTGTAGGTGGTATTCTCCAGCAGGGGTTGTTAACTACCATGCAAAGCCAGGCAGGTGATGGCCCCATTGCCAATGGGTAGGAGCTAGAAGACATGCCCTGGGCTTCCAGACCACTGCCCATATTCCCAGTTGGCAAGCAGGAGTTAGCCGTTTTTTTCTAGTGGCTTCCGGGATATGTTCACCCATGGGTAGCTGACTGATCCCTCTCCACCCCATGGACATCCCTGACTCCAGGTATCTTGGGCCTGGGAATACATGATGTGGCAAGTGGCACCCTCACAACATATCCAGAAAAGCTACAGATGGTATGATCACAGGCAAGTTGGTGAATGCCAGGGAAAGAGGTGAGGTGGAGAGCGGGGAGAAGGGGATAATGAGGTTTCCAGGGCCAAAGCACAAGAAACATGAGTAAGTCAAAAGCACATTGTTACCTTGCCCTTCTGCTGCATCTGAAGGCAAGACACGAAGCTTAGAGCCCTGGAGTAAGAACTCAGCTCCAGGCAACAAACCCTCTGGTATTTACATGAGATTCACTGACATTTGGCACTGACGGTAGGCAGGGAAACTGGGGGTTCCCAAAATTGGAACCCCTTTGGTAGCAACAAAGGTTGGAGGCCAAGCAGGTGAGGGCAAGTCCTCCTAGCAGCCACCTGTCCCCTCCCAGGGGCTTTCCATGAGCGCTTCCAGATCTCCAATCATTGGAGGCCAAGGTTGACATTAACCAGCAACCCAGCAGGACAGTGGAGAGTAGAAATAAACATGCCTGATTCTTACAAATTTAGCACACACACAAGCATCCTTGGGACCCTTCCTCATCGTACACCATCACAGTGCAAGTGGCAGTCACCTTGCCTCACAAAGTTTCAGAATGAACAGTAAGACAAGTGCAAGCTTGATGTCTAGTCACCGGCATGGAAAATGCAGGCTAATCCAGGCTTGAACAGCAGGGGGCGCTGTGGCAGTACAATGACGCACGGCTGATGCAGCCACAGACTGGTCAGAGACAACTCCTTGGGAAAGGACACCCCAGGCCTGAACAATGAGAGCAGAAGAGCAATGCAGAGAGGAGAGGAAACAGCAAAGGCTATACCCTGGAGAAGGCAGAACATATAGAAAGGGAAAATGGCTACGGAGAAGGAAGGCTTCCTGGGGACAGGGAGAAACCAAATGTCCAGGACTCTGAATGCCAAGGTCAGTTCAGGGTCTGGTTTGTAACCTTGTAGTCATCAGGGAACCTGGGAAAGTCCAAGTATTTTTAAACAGGTCCCCATGAAGAAGGTAAAATTTAAGGAGGACAGAGTCAGAGAGGTTGAAAAAGATGTAGGCATGGATGGGCAACAGTAAGAGAAAAGGAAGCAAGCATGTGGTTCATCAAGAGTGGGTACTGCAGGACTCCAGGCTTCCGGCTTGTGAGGTCAGACACAGGAGTGGGAGAGACAATGACGTCTGAGCTCCTGGCTCCATGTAAGCAAGTCAGCCTGCGTAGCCTGCTTGTTCAACGTGTGAGCCCTTCTAAGCGCCATGTCCTTAAACAAAACAAGTGGGCTAGATGAGGGCTGTACTCACTCTCCCCATCTCCCTCCCTCCTGTGCCACTCTGGCCTTGGTTGAAACCCCTCCGTCTCATGAAGCTATGCTAAGCCTCTCCCATCAGTATCTGCGACCTCATCTGTTAAACCTGTAAATGTTACCTTATCTGGGAGAGGGATCTTTGCTGACACAATTGAGGATCCAAAATGTCTTGCATTCAGGATTTAAATTGGAGAAAACATTAAACTAGTGAAGTCACAATCCAAGGAACACCTGCATGGCCTAAAAAGCTGAAAGATGTAATACAGCACATTCTCCAAGGTATCTGAAGGGACTGTGGTCCTACAGGTACCTGTTTTTGAGACAAGGCCTTAAACTATAGCCCAGGCTGGCCTGGAACTCACTCTGTAGCACAGATTGCCATGGAATCACAACAGTCCTCCTGCCTCAGCCTTACTAATTCCGGGGTTACAGCCATGTGCCAATACATTTGGCTCAGAAAACAGGTTTAAGTTGTTTGAAATCACAACAGTTCTCTGTCTTAGAAACCAAAAGAAGCTTAGACAGCTAAGCAGAGCAAGAGAGCTCACTAGCGAACCTTTCTGGAATACTCTGATGCTCCCACATTGGGGCAGGAAGAGAGGCTTATAGCCTCTTCATTGCTAAGGCTGAAGCCTAGGCTGGCTTCCTTAACCACATAAGAGGAGAAATGATGAGAAAACCATGGCCCAAATGGACCTGATGTAGTGCTTCCAACAAAATTAGACTTTCAGCACAAATGGACCTAATGTGGTGCATCCAACAAAATTAGACTTTAGGCAGTTATGAAGGAGAACTAGGCTTCTAGCTTTCCCAGGCTCCTACCTGTCACTGTCTAAGAGCATCACTGAACAAGAGACTGGCTAGAAACTAATTTTTAAAAAGTATTTGCTAAATGACATTAATGACTTTGGCCAATCATACAGAGTAGCATGTTTCTCTTGTCTTAGTTACTTACAAACTTTACCATAGCTCAGGTTCAAAGTTTTACCTTTTTATCTCTTCACAAGACAATCTTGAGAATGCTTATCCAAACTCCTGCTTCCCCACTCTGGCCAGCAATAATCTGAGTTGTTGTCCCCAAATACCTTTAGACCATGACCATTATCTCCTCCCTGAGAAGTGTGTATAGAGATAGCAGGCCCGAGAGTAGCCATGTGGGGGAACTCTCCATCTCATTGCCATCTGTATGCTGGGAGACAGGTGGGAGAAGAGCTGCCAGGCTTCCTAATGCTCCCTCTGTCGTCAAAGGCACCAGGAATGAGGCTGGAGGACATGGGGACAATAACCGTCTTCCCATTTCCTTGTTCCAGGCACAGGCCAGGAGGGTGAAACAAACAGCTGCCTGCACATACTATGTACAACATGGGCCCCTTGCTCAATGTGTCCAAAAGGTCTACCACAAAATAGTCTACCAGATCCAGGGTCAATATTGACCTCATCTAAGCCATATTTTTAGCCAATTAGAAAGTCCCTTTGCTTTATAGTTGAAGGGGAAAATCTAGTCTGCATCCCCAATAGTTCCTTCTTCCTAACCACCCTACCACCAAGCTTGTGGATCCATGTGCATACTGTATCTCTGATGAAAAATGTTCTACAAAAGCAAAAGAAAAGGAAAATATTGTGGTAAGATGATGAAACAGTTGTAATGCCCACACTCAAAGCATCCCAGGAGCTAAGTTAGTTTCCTGGAAATCTCAGGTCCAGGTGCCACAAAGAACAGAGGCCCATAGAGACACATAGGGACAAAAGGAGATGGCTCTAAGCTTTTCAGAAAAATCAAAGAATCTGAGGAAGGTGAATAAGGGTGAACAGTTTTGCTGAGTCACGTACCCTCCCCTGAAGTAAAATTAGCCAGCCCTGAACTAGAGACATTCTACTTGACATATTGATGCTGTGGTACTATAAAACCAACAAATCTTGACCTTTTATTCTCCCTCAATAGCATCCTCAGAGGTTCCATGCCATGGGGTAAAAATACCCTTCTAAGACTGGAGACCCTCTGTAACTATTTGATTTACTCACAGGTGCCCCACTTGTGACTACAGCCTACAACAAAAGCAATCTGTCCTCTAAAATTCCAACATATAGGAATGGATAATCACTCTGATTTCTCTTTCATCACTACTCCTTAAAACAACTTATGGGTTCACAGATTTTGCAAATGATCTGACTTGAGGAGGAGCAGAGGGCATCCAGGTAGTGACATACCAAGAAATCAAGGTCAGAAAGAGCACTGCCAGAATCACTAGAGGCCTCAAGACGTCCATAGTCCTGTTGAAGAGGCTCTTGGACATCATGGTATTCTGATTGGCAGTACAGGGGGCGGTGACATTGGGCCTCTGAAGGCCCAGCATCCCCTTGGGTGAGATCGGGGTCATAAGGATCTTTCAGGGTTCCTCCCATTCTTTGGAAATAAAACATCAGAATGTTCACTGAGCTTTGACCCAACTGAAGTATGGCCTCTTCCAGCTGAGATGCCTGGAAAGTCAAGATCACATAGTCTGTCCCCATGTGTTGTATTCTTCCTGACCAGTATAACCTTTAATTCTGCCTGAATTTGTCTCTAAGGATGTACAAAGTATACCTGCTATGAAGCCTACTGCTATTGAACAGGCGGGGAAAAGGATGAGAACTTTCCTGGGCCCCATTCCCTGCTTGGTTATATACTCACGCTGAATGCTGAAGCAAAACTTCTTTTGCTGGTAGGAGATGTAACTGGATACAGCTCCAATCAGGGCCATGGCCAGGGCACTGGCCACACCTGCTATGGTTCCAGTTTCTGTCGACATGCCTGGACATGGAAGAATAGAAAGAACTTAGTAGAAAAGACCTGAAACTCCAAATAAAACAGTTCATTCAGGATTCTGCTGCTCTGATAGCCCTAAGTTATGCTGGCTCACATGTTCATAATCTCCAAGTCCATGTAGAAGAGCTATGCCACAGATACCCAAGACATGGCAATGACATGGTGCTCCTTGGATTTGCCAAACACTTTTGGTCTTCCATAAAGACATTCATCTTGAGAAACATGAGAAGCAGACTGCAGTCCTCTCTCTTACAGAGACCTAGCCAGTACTTGGAGTCTCAAGCTAGCAGGTTTCCTTTTGGGTCACCTATCCCAAGGCCTATGTCTTCATGTTGCTTCCACTGAATGGAGCAGTAGGACCTTTGGGAAGTAACTGGATCAGGAGACTCCACCCTCAACAAGGGATGGAGTTGTAGTGGAATGGATTTCAGGGCTTTGTTATAATAGCCAGATATCAATTTCTAAGAATCCATGAGGTGAGTTAATCAGCCTTCTTTACCATGTGTATCTGCCATTATAGTTCACTTCCCCACAGACCCAAAGGCAACAGGGTCAAGTGACCCACACTGGAATCTCTAAAACCATGAGCAACATACATTTTATCTTCTTTTAAGTTATATATCTTTGGTATTTTTCATGGTGATGGAACGCTGACTGAAAGAAACATTCGGGGAAGAGAGGTAAGAGAAACTCTAAGACCAGAGTAGGCCAGTGTTATTTTTCCTTGTGGTTCTAACAGAGAACTTGGGTCATAGATACCCACCAGATCCAGGGTCATCATTGCTGCCATAACCGCCACCACCTGGGAAAAGGATAAAAGCACTTAGTGTCTGCTATGAACCCTAAGACCCCAAGACCAGTAGACTCAGGCCTCCAGAAGGTCTATTGAAATGATTTCCTCCGCACACTGAGCTCTTCTACACATGATACTCTCCACACTCTGGCTTCAAGTTTACTTCTTCATTATCTACTAGGGGCAGTTCACTTAGCATCTAAAAAGGGAGGGAGCCAAGTCTTACAGGCAGATTAAAGATAATCAAAAAGCAGTTAGACTAGAGTGCAAATTACAACACCAAGTAGTAACTCCTGCACATCTATACCAAAACATTGAAACATAAACAAATGCAATCATAAAACCACATCTAATATTTTCACATTCAAAAAGCTCTTAAATATCATAGAGATGCAGAACAGACTAATGCTGATAGAAAGGTTATAGAAGAGAGATCCTTGTGACAGAATGATTTATCTGATTATGGTGATAAATTATTACCATATGACATAACTGTAAAACTAGAGTGTGTGAGAGCGTGTGTGCACACACACACACTTCCCCAGCAAGAGACTCCTCCCATTCCTGGAGAACAACTCCATAACATCAAGTACCGTCTAGAACGTCAACTGGCCCTGAATGCATCATAGGGCCTAATGCTCACTGACCGAAGATGATGTTCTCAGGACTTGTTGGGAATTGGTGAGGTACTATTTTAGGAGAGTCTCCTCTACAATGTTGGAAGCAACAAGTACTGCCATTTCTTTCACCGATCAAAGAGTCTAGATTTATAAGTATTAAAATATTTCACTGCAGTGAAGGAAGGTTATGGGGATGAGCAGGTAAGATGTGAGAACTTCGACTCAGTTTTGCTATGAGCCTAAAACTACTTTTAAAATGGTCTAGTTTTTAAAAGAGTCCGGAGAGAAAATGAAATTTGTTATGTTACTATGTGGAACTGACTCTTCCAGTTAAAAACATTCATAAAGGTCTCTGACTGCCTATTTACTAAAAGAGGGGTTTAAGAGAACTGGCTGCTCTTGCAGAGGACCTGAGTTCAATTTTCAGCAACCACAAGGTGGCTTGCCAACCATGGGTAACTCCAGTTCCAGGGATCTAGCACTCCTTTTTGGCCTACTTAGGCACCAAGCATGCAAGTGGTTCATAGATATACAGGCAGACAAAATACCCAAACACATAAATAACTAAATAATTAAATAAAATATAAAAATAACAGCAGCATTTTTGTTTTGTTTTGCTTTGTTTTTCAGGAAGGGTATATAGCCCAGGCCAACCTGAAACTTGAGAATCTTCCTGCCTTACCCTCTAGCCCAGTGGTTCTCAACCTCCCTAATGCTGTGACCCTTTAATACAGTTCCTCATGTTGTGGTGACCCCCGATCTTAAAATTAGTTTTGTTGCTTTTTCATTACTGTAATTTTGCTACTGTTATAAATTGTAATGTAAATATCTGATATGCAGGATATATGACATGTGTTCCCTAAGGGGTTGCAACCCAAAGGTTGAGAACCACTGCTCAGAGTGATAGACTTGCAGGTATGTTTCACCACACCACACCCAGCTGAGCACCAACATTTTTGTCACCATTATTACTACTGGAGAAAGCAGAGCAGAACAGACTGATCAACACGCATTGACATTTCAGCAATAAGTGCTTAATGTCCAATAGTGCCTGTTACCAATCCCCTCTGTTGTTCTAGAAGTGATCAAGGGTAAAAGTTAAGCATCCCCACAGGCACCCTTTGCAGAAGTGTTCAAGTCACTAGCTTCATGAAGTTTGGACTTAGTAATTCAACATTTTCTTTCTTTCATCTCTAGACAGAGTATGGAGAGCCAGCCTAGTCAAATGGAACTGCAGGCTCAGCGAGAGACCCTGTGTCAAAAACTATGGTGGGGGCTGGAGAGATGGCTCAGAGGTTAAGAGCACTGACTGCTCTTCCAGAGGTCCTGAGTTCAATTTCCAGCAACCGCATGGTGGCTTACAACCATCTACAATTCAATCTGGTGCCCTCTTCTGACATGTAGGCAGAACACTATATATGTAATAAATAAATAAATAAATCTAAAAAAAAACTAGGGTGGAAAAGTCATAGAAAATGACACTCAAAATTGACCTCTAGCTTCTACATATGTGCACAATATACACACAGACACACACAGATACCCAGACACACAGACACACACACACAGGCACACACACACAGCACACACACACACACACACACACACACACACACACACACACACACACACACACACTACTACTCAGTTTAAATCCTTCTATCCATCCAGTCACATGAACCTGAACTAAGGTAAGCCACCTGGGCCTATCACTGGAATTACTCAGGGCAAAGTCATGGCCTTCATCTCTCATTGGCTTCTGAGCTCCACTCATTTTCTCTGAGCATAGGCTGCTCTATCTACAAAATGCAGTGTGCAAAAGATAATGTTAGAACAAGTGACAAACTCAACCGGCATTAAACAACTCAATACAGTCCATGAAAATGAATTTCCAATAAAAACAAAACAGATAAAACTGTAAGACCACAAGACATTTTAGGACAGCATTTATAATATCTTAGGAACAAGTGGTAGCTTCTAAACATGATCATAAAGTCAGAAGTGCAAAATGGGAAAGATTCTATCAAAAGTTAGAACTTCAGTACTAAGAGCACAAGCAGGATTGAGAAAGCGAGAGCAGACCAGAGAGCTAAAGAGAGACAGACACTTGTGCCTCAAAGAACCTTACAAATAAGTACAATGAACTGTATGTGGGAGCACACACTTAAATTCCTGCACAAAGGAGACTAAAGCAGAAGGGTTATGTGTTCAAGGCCAGCATGGTCTAGCTGATGAGACAGTCTCAAAAACAAAACAAAACGTGAGATGGGGAGTAAAGGGGGAGAGCCCTAGCATAGCCATGAAGTGAGAACTGGATGCACTGGCATACGCCTGTAATTTCCACACTTAATGCGCTGAAGTAGTAGAATTAAGAGGCAGAGGCTCTGTCTCAAACAAACAGACAAAGTATAATGATAACTTCCAAAACACTGGCAAATATGTATCTGAGAAAGGACTAACTTAATTAGCAGAAAAAAGCAAATAAAGCTCAGTGTGTCATAACATCCCCATACTTTAGGATGGGGAATAAATGAAAAGAAGGGGAGAGTTTAACAAGGATATGGAGAAACGAGAACTATCATACATTGCTAGTAAGGATGAGAAATTGCCCAGTTTCTGTAGAAACAGCTTAGTAGCTTCTGGAAACATGAAACATAAAGTTATGGTATGCACTAACAATATCACTTCTATGGTTTGAATGTGTTTCCCAGAATTCATATTTGCCAGAATCTTGATCGTTAGGGTCATATGTCAGTGGAATTTGAAAGTGAGGCCTTTGGGAGAAAATTATGATTTAAATGAAGTCATGAGGGTGGAGCTCTCAGGTTGACCTCAGGGGTTTTATCAAAAGAGGAAAAGAGACACAGCCAGCATGCTTTCTCTGTCTTACAAGTGATCCTCTCCACCATGCCTGAACCCAGAACATTGGTCTTAGCAGATGTTAAGTATATGCCAATGCCCAGACATCCTTGAGACAGTTGAAAATTGTGCCCGTGTAAATACTTCTATGCTCATGTGAACATATGCTATGTTCATAGCAACATACTTTGTTCATTATGATCTGTGGTCCAATGGTCCATCAATTGTCAGTAACTAAATAAAATGTTTGGTAATATACAAAAAGGGAGCTCCATAATAAAAAAAATAGTTATAAAACAATGAGGAACAATGGGTCAAGGACATGAACAGGGATCACAACATATATTGAGTTCCTAGTAACAAACAGATTCAAGACAATGAAAATATGACTAAGACAAATGCTTTGTTCTTATTGAATTCACAAAGATAACAAAACCATAATGCTTGGTGGATTGAGGTTGGTATTGGAGAAAATGGATACCTGATTACTTCCTAAGGGCAAATGGGAAATCATTTGGTAATGTCATTTAGAGTCACATTTTTAAAAATGTATGCATCTTATGACCCAGCAATTTTAGTGCTAGAAATTTGTCTGACAGAAACAACTGTGGCTTTTCATATTTGGGCCAACAGTGTTCAAACACTGTGTATAGATGAAAAGCTAGAGGAACCACTACACAAAATAGGCTACAGGATAAACAAATATGTATGGTGTAATATAGTATTAAGTAGTCACTAATGATATCTCAAAAATAATCTATATAGTAGAAAAAATATCCTGAGTATTACTGAATAGACACTGGTTTGAAAAAGATAGCATATGCTGGGTATAGGGATACATACCTGTAATCCCAGCACACGGTCAATCTTCCTAGGAGGCTAGGACAAGAGGAAGGCCCTGAGTTTGAGGACAGCTCCAAACTACCTTTTTTTTTATATTTTATTTTCCAGTTTAAATTTAGATAAGTAACAAGGTTGCTTCACAAGTCAGTTCCAGGTCCCTCTCCCATTCCCTCCCTTCTTCCCGTGCCCTCCCCCCAACCCCCCTCCCGTTATCCCCTCATTCCCCCAGGGAGGGTGAGGCCCTCCATGGGGGTGTCCATAGTCTGTCATTTCATATAGGGCAGGGCCTAGACCCTTCCCCAAGAGTTCAGGGTGAGAGTGCACCTCACATTGTTCTATGGGAGTCCAAAGTCTGTGTGTATACTTGGGATGGGTACTGATCTGCTGCCCAAGGCTCAATAGATTCCCTAGGCCTCCTCATTGACACCCAGATTCAGGGGGGTCTTGATCAGTCCCATGCTGGATTCCCAGGCTGATGCCTGGGATTCAAGAGTTAACCTTTGTCTGGTCAGCTGTCCAAACTACCTTTTATGGTGTACATTTTACTGTAATTTGCTTTCATGATACACACCTATTCACACAGATAGCTATACAGAATACCTATCTCTAGGGACCTAGGCTGTAACTATAGTGACTATCATTGATAAAGAGACTGCCACTGCAATGGCAGTAAGTGCTGCTATAGCAGGTCCCATAGAGATAGGGACCACGTAGCTATAGCAACCACCATCACTTAGATGGACCCTGTAGAATAAGAGGCACCACCTCAGTAAGGAAGTTGTGTGCAGTGGTTTGAATATAGTTTCCATGGAAACGTGGAGAAAGTTAATTGCCACTGTGGCAGTGTAATGTTTTTGTCCTGGAACTGGGTTAGTTGCCACAAGATTGGGTTATTACAAAGAGAGCCTGCCCTGGTGTTTCATCTCATGAATCTGTGTTCATTTACCCTTTTGCTATTCTGCCATGTTAGGGTGCAACACGAGGCCTTCACCAGATGTAGCCACCAATCTCAACCTTCCAGCTTCCAGAATTGTGAGGCAAATAAACGTCTTTCCTTTATTAATTACTCTGCCTTGGACATTCTATTATAGTGAAAGAGAATGAATTAACACATTGTGAATAAGCTCTGTTGTCAACAGAGGTGTCAGACTCCCAGCATCTCAAATACAAAGACAACAATGCACATATAGACGTCAGCCTTGAGTCCTACAGAGCCACTTAGTAAGAGAAACAGGGACACAAGGCATGCGCTTGCCCTTCTCTGACGGCAGTCCAGCTCGTGGCTCACGGTGAGTGCCTGACGCATCTGGTCGTCAAGGACACATTGCTCACAGAACAGTAGAGTGATTATGTCTGCAACTGTTAGGGAGGTATTCAAGTGTTTAAGGACATTGTGACTGTCTCAGACTTCCAACAAGACACAGCTAGAGCTTTTAGATATTTTTAATGTACTTTTATTGTCTCAAAAAGAAGTAGCAAGAGAAGTATAAGTTTTTCAACCAATAAATAAAACTGTGCATGGTGGTGCTTCCCTTGAACCTAGCATCTGGAAGGCTAAGGCAGGAAGCTCATGATGTTTAGGCAAGCTGGAGGCTAAAAAATGTGACTCTGCCAAAAAAACCCAAAAAAGAACAAAAATAAAAAACAAAAAATGGAAAAGACATTGCTGCAAATGACTTACAGGTACCAAATAAAATCAGGTGGAAAAACCATGTTGAAACATACTGAGTGCCTGGGCTAACCACCAGGGAAGGTATCCTTACTGTTGCAGAAACTCTCCCAGCCTCATCTTGTCCATTCCTTACAGCAGAACTGAGAATATTCTGTAGATAACCTGGTGTTGTTTTGTCCCGATCTGATATGGGACACTAAAACACCCAATGTTATATATTAAGGATGACTCCACAAAAATCCCCTATGTTCATGCTGCACTCCTTGGTGTGTTGTAGAACAGTAGAAGCACCTGGCAGGCATTTCCTCATGTTAAAGCTAGAAGTATTGTGGAAACAAGTCCAAAGAAACCTCTCTGGGGCTTCTTTCTTCCATGCTAGGAAAAGAAGGAGGCTGCTAGCAAACAAGGGAAACAATCTGAGTCCAGGAGGGGCAAGAAGGGAACAAGAGTGGAGGGTTTACAAGCAACTCACTTCAAGAGATGCAAGAGGACCCGGTAACAAACTCATTTTGAGCCAGACACAGCCTGCCAAAATGTTGACTCGAGGAAACAATACACAACAGACAATGTATTGCTTCAGAAATCCACTCGAGAAAAACAACTGAGGCTGTCTTAAAGACTCAAGTCTGGGAAGCGCACTAATTGAGTTTACAACTTATGTAAATGTGATGCTGTCCCTTCACTCCTCATCATGAACTTGTTTTGGTGTAAGGAACAGTGTCTGTGACTCTCACCCATGTTCCAGTTTTACCTTTGATCTTCTTTCCTGACACCTATGATGACAGAGGAAACTACTGAAGCTAACAATTGATTATTCTATACAAGACAAGCTCCAATATGAGCCTAATTAAAGAATTTCCTAACACTTCTTTCTTGCTAAAACAATTACTTTTAATGAAGAAAAGCCCCTGTCATGTCACTCAGACTTTCAACCCTGTGTATGCGTACATACACGACCACTGCTCTCATCTCCCCATCTGGAAATACCAATCGTCACCCACAAGTAATTGGCTCATTTGCTGGGTTTGCCCTTTAAATGCTCCGTGTTATCCTGACACCTGGAAGTTTCATTTAGAGGCTTTTAGGACTTGTTCCTAGAGATGACACCATCTGGAAAGGTGTTTCTTGGGACAAATGTGACTACAGCACATTTTAAGCAAAAGAGAACACTGTTTCCATATGAAAGGCACAGTGCTTGCAAGAAAGAAGCGAATGCTACTATTTCAGCCAGGGCTTGGGGAGGAGGGTCTTAAAGAGTTATACCCAGATAATCTCACAACTTGCAGCCTTCAGTCCCTGCTACAATTTTTCATCACAACAGGGAATAATAAGGAAAGAGTTTCAAACACCACACTTAACCATTATAACATCTTATCACAAGTGATTGTAGTTAAGAGATCACAGCTGTAGTGTTTTACACCTACAGTTTCCAGCATAAACACACCCACAAGCCTGGTCATACCTCACACCCCAGGCTTAAGATCCAATTTGACATATGCTATGATGAACGGTTTCAATCATTAATAGCTTGGGGAATGACAAACATGTGACTACTCAGGGGCAGCATGAAGAAGAGAATTTCTGAGAATGTCTCCCCATTTGTGGTGATGACTATTGAAATCACACATGTGATAAAATTTCACACACATACACACACACACACACACACACACACACACACACACACACACACACCAGCATGTAAGATGAGATTTGACAAAATCCCCAGAAGGTCAATGGGTGACTTTATCGTACAGATGTCAGCTTCCTACTTTAGATATTCTGTGGATGTGCAGTGGAGAATCCTTGGGAGAAGCTGGGTAAAGAGTATTACAGGAGCCTTCCTGAACCATTTTAAAACTTCTACCAGCCCTACAATATTTTTAATACAAAGATACTATTAAAAGATCTCATTGTTTCTTCAAAATATTTGTCATGTTATGTTTGAATCCTCCCACTGTATGGAAAACTGGCTCTCCAAGTAGGGCAGGCTGTCGTCTTCTTGATATCATGATGCCTCCTGTGACTGTCCTACCACAGGCTCTTGGTGCTGCCTCATAAACAGGTGTCTGTTAATGTGGAGACATTAGCTCAGGCAGCACTTTGGCTTAAAGAACCACAAGGCAAAGGGGCAATTTCTCTACATTGGCTTACAAATGGGCCCCCACTCCTAAGAGTGACAAGCCACCCCAAGTAACAAGTAGAAATATCTAAGCCTTATTTTCCAGAGAATTAGGTGTGTAGTCTGACAAAGAAATATCCCTACCTTTATTCTTATCAGGTTTGTATCCCCCACCTCCTATTATGTCCTCAAGATCCTTGTCTGAAAAACCTAGAAAAAAATACATTTCAGTGATGAAAATATTTCAGCAGCAAGAAATTTAGAATTTGGATTAGTAAATGTTGCCAATGACACTTGGATGTTCTTCATGGTACTGGGAGTGTGGCTCAGTGATACAGCACATATAAGGCCCTAAGAACCATGCTTGGTACCAAACCAGAGAGATGGGGGGGGGGGAGAAGGAGGAAGGGAAGGAAGTTGAGAGAGAAGAAAGTGAATGAAAATGACATGCAAAATTTCAAGAGGTCCCTCAGGTTGCCCACTGCCAGTATATGTGTTCTGTATAACCTCCAGTCACCTTGAGTATTTGTGTGACACACAAAAAAATGAATATAATCCTAGTGGTTAAGTTGCATTATATGCCAAAGATGAAGAGATTTTTGTCAAAGTCATTAAGAGCCTGACTGAACAAAGTGATCTCTTTCAAAGCTTGTTCTGGGCTTCCCTGAGCTCAGACATGGGAAGCTGAAAACTGTCCTCTTTCTCCTGCTGGTCTTAAAGAGGCCACTATTTCCATAGCTGAAGGGAAATCTCTATCAACAAACCACACGACCTTATTTTGAAGAGAAATTCAGCTCAGATAAGACCTCTGTCTCAGTATCTGGAGTGCAGCTCTCTAAGACTCTGAATAGAAAACTTAGCTTCTTAACTGAACAAAGAATATCTTAACTCATTTCTTTAAAAACAGTCTCCCTAACTTTCTTATGATTTGGGACAAACCATAGGTAATTAACAGAAGAAGCAGAATCACCATTAATTTTAGCTCAACTATTAAGTATACATCTTCCTGAACGTTCTATGTGCTGAAATGTAAAGTGTGTTTAAAGCCTTTCTGCTATATTCCAAAGAACTAGAGGTAACTCCCACAAGTCACTTGCATGATTGTTTCAGTTCTAACTGCTTTTATCTGCTTTTTGTCATAAGAGACCAGTCTTGCTGGGCAGAACGAATGCTACAACAACTTGACTATTTGGGAAGAATTTCTTAAAACTGAATGAAATGAACCCATCAGTTCAGGACAGCCATTGATGGCACTTGTCAATAAGATTTCAAGTGAAGCCTCTATCGGTTACTGTTGAGTCTAACAGCATCCCACTACATGAAGACTACATGACATTGGCGGTACTAGTAGCAGATGTGACTTTTGGTTTTTCATAATAAAGTGTGACATCACACTGAAGTTTCAGAAACCTCAAGATAAAAAGGTTTTCCAAACACTTTACCTGCAATGTTACTAAACAACAAATGGACAAAAGTTCATTGAATGGGTGCTGCAGTTCAAATACATGACCCTATAGGCTCATGTATTTGAACACTTGACACCCCCCACCAGCTTTTGGAAATATGTCACTGGTAACTGACCTTTGAGCTTCACAAGCCCACTTCCTGTTTCTTTTTCTGTGCTTGCAGAGTGTGGATATAATGCGGCCAGCTGAGTTTTGTTGGGACCCTATCACTTCTGAAACCACTGGCCAGTCAAATGAATGAATGAATCCTTCCTCCTTGCTTTGCTTGTCAGGTATGTGACCAGGGCAACTAGAAAAGTAACTAAAGGGTAACTGAGTGAGGAAAAGTTGTTAAACATTTCTATTTATTTATCATTCATTTACGTATTTGTTCTAAAACTCTTTTAAATTTAATTGTACTGTGTGTGTGTGTGTGTGTGTGTGTGTGTGTGTGTGTGTGTGTGTGTAGGCAGGCATGTGCCATAGTACACATGTGCAGGTCAGAAGACAGCTTTCAAGCTGCATATCTCAATATGAGAATTCAGGTATCTCCTAAAAAAATGGGCATTCTAGAAATTTCTGACGAATTTAAAATAATGGCACTCTTCTCACAAAATTGTTTTTATCTTACCACACAGTAATTTCTCATACACTCTACAATATTATGTTAATATGTATAGCTTTAGTATTAATCATTTTAGAGGGGTAATATTGTTTTTTTAAGTCTTAAATATACAGATGACAAACACTGAGGGATAGGAGTCACATAGATAAAAGTTATTGAGAATTCCAATAATTTGGGGAATCCCAGGATCAATAAATTTCAGCATGACTATTGTAGGGTTCTCTGCACCTTCAAGTGGCCTGGATCTACAGTATTCTAAATGGCTGAATGCTATTACAGGTATGTTGTGGGAATTCTGTCCAATAGCCAATTGTATTAGGGAGGCTTGGCCCAATGGGCATGCTCTTTTCTGGGGATACGAGATGAGACACGATTAGAACTGGAAGGGTGTCACTCGATCACTTAGACTAAGGAGGGCTTGCTGAGGCCAGTCTTGGTGACTTTACCCAGACCTTCCGGATCACAATTGGGAACTAGAGGAGTGGCAGCTCAGTAGTGCTGCAGTCTCCCTCTGTATGGTGACTGTACTTTATTGATAGGCACCTGTTAATAAATCTGACTTGATCACATTGATCACAAAGTTCTCTTCCTCATTACAGGTAACAAGACAGACAAGAGCTGCAGCATTGCTCCATGATTTCAAGCAACTAGGACTTACCTCCTCCTCCTCCTCCTGCATTTGGTTTTTTGTGGCCATCTAGACCATTTTGATCATCCAAGGCATCATTCAAGTCAAAACCATCTGGCTCTGGGGACCACAAAAACAAAATAAACAATCACCTACTGTGCTGGCTAGTTTATATGTCAACTGGACATAAGCTAGAGTCATCTTAAAGGGAGAACCCCATGTGCAAAAAATCTCCATACCATCAAGCTTATTGGACATTTTCTTAATTAGTGATTGGTGGGGGGGCAGCCCATTGTGAGCCATCCCTAGGCTGGTGGTTCTGGGTTCTATAAAAAAGCAGGTTGAGCAAGCCACCCCTCCATGGCCTCTGTATTAGCCCCTGCCTCCAGTATCCTGCCCTGTTTGAATTCCTATCCTGACTTCTTTCAGTGATGAACAGCAATGCTAAAGAGTAATCTGAATAAATCCTTTCCTCTACAACTTGCTTTTGATCATGGTGTTTCATCACAGCAATAGTAATCCTAACTAATACACTCACTTAAACAAGTAGCTAAAGTGTAAATCCTTCCTTCCTTCTCTCTCAGAGAGCTTGTCTTACCCATAGGATTTGATGGTGCTCTAGTTGTTCCTGGCCTTCTAGTTGTGGTAGTAGTGACATGGTTCCATCTCTCTGAATATGGGAGGGAAGACAGCAAGAGTCATATGTTTAATAATAAAATGCATATATACATCACAGTTTTAGAAAGTCACACCATGAATAGAGTACTCTTGTCTTAGTGTTTGAAGCCCCTACATGACTTCATAATCACTTGGAAAAGATGCCAAGGTTTAAGTGAGGAATATTCTTCTTTATAGGATGGGGACTGAAAAGAATGTAGCTCTATATCTCACCACTTGGTGAGTAGAACTAGAAAATGAGCCTAGAACTCCTGACCACATGGACTAGGGAGTTCTAGAGTTTAAGCATGATCCCCAAGATCTTCAAACCATGGTTTCCTCCACTATTAGTCAGGCAACTGAACTACAGATATGCCTGGAGATGAATGGACTGCCATTTTCTATGATGTATAGAGAATTATCTTATATGGTTAAAGCACACACACACACACACACACTTCTTGTAAATGGCCGTTGACTGTTGTAAGCAGATTCTTTTAGAAATATGGGTTTCTTTCACATTTGTTACACAGCACTCATGAATTTTTCAACACTTTCTTCTATTAAACTTTAGAATTTGCTGTAATTATTCCTACAACAGAAGACATTCCACGGGAAAGGTAATAATAATGCTATAGCAAACACACAAGACAAAATATCATGAGCATAGAGCAAAGCAGTGAAGTTGACCATCATGTTATACCATATGTAAAAATTAACTTAAAGTGTATCAAAGATCTAAAAATAAGGGCTATTTTTAAACATTTTGGAAAATATTTGTGATGTTAATTTGGGGATGTTTCCTGGATATGAAAGTATAAGCATCAAATGAAATCATGGAAATGAACTCACAAGATGACTCAGAGGTTAAGAGCACTGGTTACTTGGATCCATGTTCAATTCCCAGAACCCACATGGCTGCTCACAATTTAAGATGGAGTTTCTTGTCCTGCCTGGTCCCTCAGCTGCTTTTCCCCAAATAAACATATGAAGACTTATTAAAATATAAAATGTTTAACAGGTGGCTCAGGTTCCTTACTGGCTAGCTCTCTCTTAATTAACCCATTTCTATTAAACTATGCATTGCCACAAGGATGTGGTTTACCCATAATCTGGCATGTTACTCTTTCGACAGCTACATGGCTTAAATAAACACACAGAGACTTATATTAAACTGTTTGGCTGATGACTTAGGCTCTTATTGGCTTTTTCTCTCAACACAATTGTCCATAACTCTAGTCCCATGGAATCTGACACCTTCTTCTGTCCTCTTTAGGAACCATATATTCACAAGGTGAAGAGAAGAAAACAAAGGAACAAAAAAAAGAGGAGGAACAGGAAGTAGGAGAGAGAGGGGAAATCAAAACAAAGTAGTATAGTGATATATAATGTATGTGATGCATATATATATGATAATATATGAGATGTCACAATGAATGATGGGTGAGACAGATAGCTTAGGGTTTCAATTCCCAAGGTGTAGGAACAAGTGAAGGGTTGTTCAGATTATGGGAAACTTAAGATTTCAGCTAGATAAGACCTGAAAATAAATCAATGTACCAGCTAAAGAAGAAAAACCATGTAAGTATATCAATGATATGAAAAGATCTAGAACAGTTTATTTTTAAAAAATGTCTTTTTCACCAATTTAGGAATAAGGGAGAGCTCCCTCAATTTCAGGACTGTTCTCTAGAAAATGGTTAAAGACTAAATTTTCTTCCTGTAAGATCAGGAGCAAAGCAACCTCACTGTCACACAGTGCTGCAAGTTCTACAACTAAAAGAAGAGAAAATTTGCAGATTTTAAGGGAAGGAATCTTTCTGTCCATATTTGCAGATGACTACTTGATCATCTTCACAGAAAACCACTTTTTGAATGGTGGGTTTTGGATTCCAAAAGAAAGCAAAAATATTGAAATACACACCTTTAAAACAATGTGGAGCCGGGCGGTGGTGGTGCACGCCTTTAATCCCAGCACTCGGGAGGCAGAGGCAGGTGGATCTCTGTGGGTTCGAGGCCGGGCTGGACCGATAGCCTCCAAAACAATACAGAGAAACCCTGTCTCGTAAAAACCAAAACCAAAACAAAACGAAACAATGTGGAAAACTACTGTATTCAAATAAAGCAAACCTAGAGGTTGAAAGTTATAAAATAAAGAGTATCTAAATAAACAGAGACAGATACATATTGAGTTCACAGATGGGAGAGATCAACAGAGTGAACCCACACTGGTGTGTGTGTGTGTGTGTGTGTGTGTGTGTGTGTGTGTTCAATGCAAGCCTATAAAAGTGCCACTTATTGTTTTTTTCTAGAAATAGAGAAATTTGATCTAAATTTTTGATGTAAAGACAAAAACCTTGGATTAGCATTTTAAAACCTTGAAAAGAATAAAATGGGATGAATCACTCTACCTAATATTAAGGCTCATTTTATAGTTGCAGTTGTCAAGATGTTGCAGATGGATAGATACACAGGGCAACAGAGTAGAAAGAAGAGCTCAGGAGATCTCAGATCTGCTCAAGTGATTTTTTTATACATATGCAAAGCAACTCAAAGGAGGAAAGAATCTTTTCAGCAAAAGGTGCTGGAATAATTAGACTTCCAAAAGAAAAAGCAATGTGTTTCATTTTCTAGAAAACCAACTGCAAATGGATGGATTACATTTGCTTAAATATAAAATCGTAAAACTTCAGAAGGAAGTACTTCAGAATCGAATGCTTGGTAAAGAGTTCATACATTTCACAACAGAACCATGACCCATAAGAGAAAAAAATGGTTAACAAGCTGGAAAGGCCAGACAAAGTGGTGTATGCCCAGCACTCAGGAGGCTGAGGTATGAGGACCATGCATTGGAGACCAACCAGGACTACAAGCAAAGCTTCATTAACAGAGGCAAAAACCATCAGGGAAACATTAGCAGAATTAACAGAAAAGAATTAACAGAATTCAACAGCACACTTAAAAGATTACACACCATGATCAAAGCTGGATTTATGCCTGGGATACAAGGATTATTCAACAGAACTAAAATCAATAAACATTAAAAGTATGAAACATAAAAATCATGTAATCTGTAGTGATCTATTATTTATGATTTATTAAAGCTTGACTGAGGATTCAGAAAAGTAAAGTCAGCCACAAGACACAGAAGCCAGGCATACACCTTTAATCCCAGCAGCCAGAAACCAGGAGGTGGTGTTGCACACCTTTAATCCTAGGACTCAGGATTAAGAGGTAGATACATCTCTGAGAGTCCAAGGTCACCCAGATCTACACAAAAGTGAATCAGTCTAAAAGAGAATTATAGCTCACACATTTAATGCAAACATTAGGTAAGTATGTAAGCCAGAATCTAGGTCTCAGATAGGCATTCATTCTCCAGCCAGGCTGCGGAGAGGTACAAGTTTAGACTTGGTGAAGAATTTGTGTGTGGATCAGGCCATTCAGTAAGAGCCAGAGGTGAGAGCTAGTGACTGGCTGTTTTGCTTTCCTGATATTCAGCTTGAAGCTTGAACCCCAATATCAGTCTCTGGGTCTTTTATGTTTCATATTACAGTAATCACCTTGAAGAGAACCACCCACATTGGATGGCACTGTTCTCTGGGCTGTGTCTTCTCCACCATCACTGCTGTATTCTCTCAAACTGAGCAAAAATAACCTTCCCTTAAGTTGCTTTCCTCAGAGTATTTTCTCACAGCAACTGGAAAAGTAACTACAGTGTAAGTAATGTGAAAGACGTTAAAGGTGACAGAACTGTATACATAAAAGATCCTAAAAGCTAAGTACGGTGAGGCACACCTGCAATCCCAACACTAGGGAGGATCAGAATTTAAGGGCAGCCTGAACTATGTGAGGAGTTTTAAAACCAGCTTGAGCTACAAACAAATGCAAAATAAAAAGCAAACTGAAAAAAGAAAACCCTGGCATGCTCATGGTTTTAAAGATAGAAGAAGTAACCGTAAGCCAGAGAATGTAGGTGGTGAAAAGGGGAGGAAACAAATTCTCCCATAGTGCCTCCAAAAGGAATACAGTCCTGCTAGTATGTTTATTGCAGCCCATCATATTCATTCTGCACTTTTTACCTTGATTACTCCCCACCTTATTTGGGGGACAGGCTCTGGGGACAGCTAACAAGCCTTACCAAATTGACAAGTTCTGGGTTAGAGAGCCTGGAGCAATCAAGGAAAACCTTAAGCATCAGTATCTGGTACACACACACACACACACACACACACACACACACACACACACACACACGTGTGCATCTACACATACCCAAATGAACATGTACATACACCATACCACAAACATTACATCCACACAAATAAATGGAACGGTTAGAGTAATGGTTCAGTGGTAGAATATTTCCTTACTATATATAAAGTCCTACAATCTATCCCTAGTGCTGCAGATAGATAAGATAGATAGATAGATAGATGAAAAGACAAGAAAAAGAAAGCAAAATAATCAATAGATAAAAGAAGAAACCAAAAGTTAAGACATACTTTGACAAGAATGAGACAAAACCAGCACTAGATAAAACTAATAAGATACTGTCACTGTCACACCCATGCCTAGAAGGAAATGCATTGCCACAAATGTTTTAATTGAAAAGAAGAAAGGGCTACAATCAATACACTTGAACCTTTCACCTAGGAAATGGAGGGAATACAATGAATACAGACTTAGAAGGAAGAATATGAAGATCAGAGTAAAGGGAGTAAAAATCAGAAACATAGTAGATGGCTTTATAAAGATCTACAAAATGGACAGATACTTAGCTAGACTGAGAAATTTTTTAAAGAGAGATATCACTGGGTATACAAACAATACCTCAGGGCAAGCCCCTTGCCCAGCAGTAAGACGGCCAACATAAAAGAAACTCAATAGTATTTTTGGAGGTTTGGGTTTTTTTTTTTTGACTCATCACTTTTTTGGGCATTTTTTGTGTTTTTATGTGTTTTATTTGGGGAGGATCTAGAAGTAGATAGGTCAGAGGAATCTGTGATGAAAATATATTGCATGGGAAATTTTTTATTTTCAATAAAAGAGACATGGTTTTTATTAGAATTAGAAATGGGACTGCAGAGAAGGCAAGTGGTTAAGCTGTACTGCTCTTGAAGAGAAATTGAGTTGGGTTCCCAGCACCCACATTAAGCAGGTCACAACCACCTGTAACTCCACTTCCAGAGGATCTTATGCCTTCTTCTGTTCTCTGTACTCATGTGCACACACACACACACACACATACACACACACACATATATATATATATAATTTAAAATAAAAATAAAATCTTTTTAAAAATTAGAAGTAAAAGAAAAGATATTACTACTGATCTAACAGAAATAGCAATGATTTTTAAGGGAATGAATTTAGTCAAACTATAAACTATATGGTCTACAAATGGACAAATTCCAGAAAAGACTCAAGCTACTGATTCAGGAAGAAACAAACAATGTGAATAGACATAAAACAAAAACAAACAAACAAAAAACTTCCCTGGGCCTGGGGAAATTCTCTATGCAAGTATAGGGGAATGAATTTGGATCTCATATTCCACACAGTACCTGGGTGCAGTGGTATGCACTCCTAACTTCAGTGCTGAGTAAGAAAAGATAGAAGACCCCTGGAGTTTAGCAGTTTAATCCAATCAGCAATCTTTTTTATTTTATTTTTGGTTTTTCGAGACAGGGTTTCTCTGTGGCTTTGGAGGATGTCCTGAAACTCACTCTTATAGACCAGGCTGGTCTCAAACTCACAGAGATCCACCTGCCTCTGCCTCCCGAGTGCTGGGATTAAAGGCGTGCGCCACCATGCCCGGCCCAATCAACAATCTTAAAGTTCAGAGAAAACCATGTCTCAGAGACAGAAGGTGGAAAATAATTAAGAAGATAAGAAGACACCTGACATTGTCCTTTGACCTTCTGACCTTCAAACACATGTATGTGCACTCACACCCATCTGTGTACTCACACTCATGTGCACCACCACACACATGTAAACATACATACATGCACACACAAAAGAATTAAAAACAAAACAACTTCCCATGAAGAAAACGCAAGGATCATATGGTTTTATTGGTGAACTCTATAAAACACTTAAAGAATAAAGACTAATACTTCAAAAAGTCACCCACTACCACATCTGAAAGGGTACAGGCCATTGATGGCTGTTTTGGGAGGGAGGTACACTTTTCTTTGGAAGTGTGGTTGCTGGCAAATTGCCCAGTGGGTGGCCCCATACCTATGTGCAGATGGGTAGCACTTATTGGATAAATTTGGGAGTTGGAAGGGAGGTATATTAGGATTTAAGGGAGGCTGCGGGAGGGTATAATAAAGATACATTGTATGCATATATATAATTTTCAAATAATAAATTTAAAATATTTATTAGAAGGGTGGGAACTCAACCAGAAAATACAAGAAGATAATACTTTCAAAGCCAATCATAGAGACCAGTATTATTCAGCATTATTTTGATGCCAAAACCTGGCAAAGACACCATAAGAAAATGAACTTATGTCTATTATGAATATCTTTGCAAGATCCTCATCAAAAAACAAGGACACCAAATGTAACTCAAAAGGCTTGATGAGTTTATAATCCCAACCCTGGAGATGCTGAGGCAGTAGATCCCCATGATTCTGAGGCCACACAGGTTATATAACAAGTACTAGGCCAGACAGAGCTACACAGAAAGACCCTGTGTCAAAATACACTAAGCAAACAAAAATTGAGTTATATTTCAATTGATTTTTTTCACAATTTCTAAAGCAAATCAATAGAAAGATAGCCTTGTGCACAAATGAGCAATTTGGAGCAATTTGACATTCACAGAAAATAAAAGGCATTTTAAGGAATAAAGATAGGAAAATTCTAGCTCTCAGATCTGGCAGCAAAAGCATAATCAATCAAACTTAAAACTGTTTGCTCCAGAGAAGACTTTATTAATGGAGCAAAAACTTAAGATAAAGAATAGGAGAAAACCATATATCTAAGATTTAATGTCTAGAATATGTAAAGACTTCTTAAAATTCAATAGTAAGAAAGTTCAAAGTATGATAATATGATTTTTTTGGGAAAGGGTCTCAATATGTAACTCATCTGTCCTGGCACTCACCCTGTAGACCAGGGTGGTCATGAACCCACAAAGATCCACCTGCCTCTGTTTCTCAGATGCTAAGATTAGAGGTGTGCACCATCACAGCCAGCATATGCCTTCAACTGATTAATGAAGTCTTTTCAGTGTTAAGCTCTTACATAATAAACATCAATAGATATAGTCTAAACCAATCTCTTGGGATCCTCAACAATTTGGGAAGTATTGAGACTAAAATGCTCAAATGCCTCTGTCTGAAAGCTCCCCTGTGGCACACAGGGCTGTTATAGTTAATAAAACAGACCTAGGGCTGGAGAGGTGATTCTATGGTTAAGAGCACTGACTTCTCTTTCAGGGGGCCTGGATTTGATTCCCAGCAGCCACATGATGGCTTATAACATCTGTAACTTCAGTTCCAGAAGATCCAATGACTTCTGGCCTCTACAGGCACTGCATGCATATAGTGTTCAGACATGCATGCAGACAAAAATACCTACACACATGAAAAATAAACACCCTAAAATATAAATAAACCAATAAAATAAATGTGAACATTTATAGAGACAGAGCCACCAGAGAGCTACGGGGCTACTCTGTAGTTTCAGCCCAGTTAGGACTTACCTCTTCCTCCTGTACCTGGTTTCTGGCGGCCATCATCTCCATCACCTAATGCATCAGTCAAGTCAAAGTTATTTCCTTTAGAGGCACCCAAAACACAAAGGAAACAACAAATTGATTAATAACTGGGTAGAAGATCAAAAGACAAGTCAGACATAATTTATTGTTGAGATGGGATCTTCCTGTGTCCTGGAAATCACTATGTAGACCAGACTGTCCTAGAAGTCACAGAGATCTACTTTCCTCTACCTCCTGACTGCTGAGACTAAAGGTAGTTGTTTGAACCAGCAATCCCAGTTAAGTTAAGGTGAATTAAAAACTGGAAAATGCAACAAACATTCCACTTAAATACATTGGAAAAATAAGCATGTGAATAACAGGTTAAAGCTACAATACAATGCCACCACACATCAACCAAAATGGTTAGAATGCCAAATAGTGAAAATATCCAAAGTTGGATAAGATGTAGAGAAACTGTTCCCTCACAGAAAGCTAGAGTAAATGGAGACTAATTTAACCTTCCTTGAAGAATCAACCACCTCTTTAAAAAACTATGCAAATACCACCTGTCTAGTCTTTGGCATGATTCTGAAGAAAGGAAAGCTTACATTTACAAATACAGCCACACAAGAAACTCCACAGCAACTCTACTCATAGTAGTACCAATCTAGAAACACCTCAGACATCCATCCATACAGAAAATGCTATGCAAACTTTGGTACCTCCGTACTATGAAAAATTTTTCATCAATAAAAATAAAATACTGATCCACCCAACAACTTGGTTGCATCCCAACTGAATTAAGCTACATGAAAAAAATCCAAGTCCAAAAGGTTGTCTACTTTTTCATCACATCACATTTAATCACATGAAATGATATTTTAAAATGGAAAACGTATTAGTGGCAGTCAGGGATTAGGGAAGAGATGGAGAAAGGAGGATGGAACTGAAGGAAGGCTGGCGTGCTTGTACAATGTAATCATCAAGTGTTTTGGGTGATAGAACTGTCCATATCTGACCAGAACAACAGGTTCACAAACCAAACCTGGGTGAAGAGAACATGGGGCTTAATATATGATGACCTACAAGCTAGTATTAGGTATAATAGTACGTGTTTTAACCTCAGAGAGAGAATGGGGGCAAATTGGAGGCTACCTTGGCTACACAGTAAGACTATTAAAAAGGAAATCAGTAAAATTTTCCAAAAGCCAAAGCCAAATGAAAATAAATTTCAATTTTAAAACACTAGGTAAAGACAAATTTGGGAATTATCACAGGAAAACTTGGAAAATATTGTTTTAAACTACTAAATCTATTTATGGTAGTATGCTTAGCAGTACTGAAAAATTACTATGAAGAAATAAAAATATTATTTTTATTGAAGTATGGCCTGGGTGTGGTGGTGCAAACTTTAAGTGCTAGCTAAGTGTATAGACAGCTGGACCCCTGTAAGTTCAAGGCCAGCCTGATCTACATGGGATATTCTAGGTCAGCTAGGGCTACATAGTGGGACCCTGTCTCAAAATAAATGAACAAAATGAACATTCTCTCTGACATAGAAATATGTTTAAATATTTACAGAACACCCAAAAGACACAGACTGATAGTTTTTCATCAGCATGAACCACTTCTCTTGCAAAATAGTTTTCCTTGAATTGTAGAAACCACGACTAGCACCTAAAGATTATATTTAAATAACAACTGTTATGCCAACTTGAATATGCCATACATTTCCTAGCAAATGAGTAGAATCTCCTATTAAGTAAACATAAACCCCAATAGTATCAGTTTTATTTAATTATTTTATTTTATGTGTCTGAATGACTTGCCAACATGCAATACTTGTATGACCACAAAATTGGATCCCCTGGAAATGGAGTCAGTTGTGAGCTGCCAGATGGGTGCTCACAAAGGCAGGCCCTCTGAAAGAGCAGCAATAGGGAGTGTCTTCTGTGTATATGTTTACCTTATTGGTTGATGAGCAAAAGACTGTTGGCCAATAGGACAGCATGATAGGTGGGTCTAGGATATGAGAAGGATTCTGGGAAGTGTAGGCAGAGAGGAATTGTCATCCCAGGAAGTGACATATGGACAGAAACTGCCACTAGCCAACCATAGAGGTCTGGAGATCTGTACAGACAGGCAGGAAGTGACATAGCTGGGCAAAATCAGAATATAAGCTGGAACAAATAGGAAACCACTCTCTGTGGAGACACTGAGCCATCATCATGTAGCACGCAAAGGAGTTGCAGGTCCAGTAAACCAAGACCACATGGAAATACATGGGTTAGTAGTTATGGGTTAATAATTAAGACAGAGCTAGCCAATAAGAAACCATAGATAGGAGCCAACAGTTTCATAATTAATATAGTATCTGTGTGATCATTTGGGGCTGAGGCAGTGGCGGGGCCTAGCTGGACCAGAAACACTAAGGTAACAGAGCAGTCACTGCTCTTAACCACTGAACTATCCCTCCGCCCTGATAGTATCTTTCGTCAATAATAAAACTTGACATTTTAAACCAAAATATAGAATTTTTAAAGCCTTTACTGTCATATGAACAGCTTTTCAACAGCTACCTGATTTTAAATGTTTTGTTCTATTCATTTGTTTATTTGATTATGTATTTATTATTTGTTTTTTGGCAAGTAATCTTGCTATGTAACCTTGGCTACCCTGGAACTTGCAATACAGATGAGATTAGCCTCAAACTTTGGGTGCTGTCTCTGCTTCTGCCTCCACAGTGCTGGAATTACAGTGTATGCCAATTCATATGGTGGCTTACTAACGGATTTTTTCAATAAAGTAGATGGTAACACTAATCACGTGATTTTGAAAAACAATAGAGTCAAATATGGGCACTGTGCATTAGTCAGGGTACTTATGTTTCCAAGTGACCAGTGCATGGCATTAGTATACCATGAATGTGCTGAACTAAGGAGACTCCAAATGGGGCTCAATGGAGTTGAGCAAGGATGGTTCACACTTCACACCTTTATTGTGGGATAAACAAGCACCCATCAGATTTTGGTATTTTGATATTGCCTTAAATGGATTTTCAAAAAGTCCTTCCTCACTTCACACCTCAGAGGAACCCTGCCTTCCTCATGTCCCATTTTAGGCAAGCCTTGTTACCTGCTGGATTTGCTGGGGCTCTGGTCGTTCCTGGCCTTCTAGTTGTGGTGCTGAAGTGGTCCCATCTCTCTGAAGGGAAAAGGAGGACAAGAGGAGAAAATTCAGTAATGTGTGTGCACATGTGAGTGCTCACCCGTGTGACGCTTTATAGCTTGCAGAAGTCACATCATGAAGAGAATAGCTTTGGTATCATTCCCTGAGGCCATTGTAGGTGAGGGCCTCCAAAGTATCATACTGAGATGAATGATAAAATGACATGGGTTCTGAAGCTGCAAACACAGAGTTGCTGTTGCTTTAGCAGAGGACCCAAGTTTGGTTCCCAGAACCCATATCAGGCAGCTCCCAACCATCTGTAACTCCAGCTTCAGAGTATCTGACATTCATTCTGGACTCTGTCATACCTTCCCTTGTGTACACGTACACACTTAAAATGAAATAAAAATAAGAGAAAACTTTTTAGATGTTGTAAGTTCAAGCTGTGGTGGTGCATGCCTTTAATTCTAGCACTAAAGAGACAGAGGCAAGTGGATCTTTGTGAGTTCAACGATGGTCTGGTCTGCATAGTGAATTTTAGGACAGCTATAGAGAGACCTTGTTTCAAACAAAAAATGAGAGAATTGAAACAGGTCAAAGTTCTCTTTTTATACAGCAGGAAAAAACTAAGATACATATTCACTCATGTATTCAATATATATAAAATGACAAAGGAAGATGACACACATATGTCTCTATAAGAAAAGCCCTGAACATGTAACAGAAAAACAGATGGACAAAGATGCAACTAATTTGCTTGCATGTGTCTGCTTTTCTTAAGGGAATACTGTGAATGTGCTCCACAGTGATGAGTTGTGGTTGCTTTTCATGCTTGTTTGCTTGACTCACGCTTTACTGAGGAGGTTTCTTTCAGTGCATCCTCCAGATTAAAATCATCGAAGTCTCCATATCCTACAAATAAGAAGAGAATTTTAAGTTTAGGTGGTTTGTAAGTAGAGCAGTAATACTGAAATGCTTTCTTTGTCCTTACTATTATTTGTGTCTCTGAGAACTGAACCTAGGATCTAGAATGTACTGGGAAAGTGTTCTATCATTGAGGCACACTCTAAAATATACTCTTGACATGGTCTTTGCCATTTAAAAAAATAAGGGGATGGGAATGCAAATGGGAAAAAAGAAAGATAAGTTATCGATACTTACATCAGAAAAAAATAGGTCAGAAGCCAAGCACTCCAACATGGTAGGAGGAAACAGATCATTAGATAATGGAAACGGGCTAATTTATAAAGAAATCAGAATGCTTGTGATACATATGCCTCCATCCCAAATACATCAGGCAGTCATTAATAGATATGAACAGAGACTGTAATACAGTAATAGGAAACTTCCATCACGAATGGATGATCTAATCAGAACAAGAAAGCACTGGGTTTTTCAAGTATTTATAGAACATTCTTTGCAAATGCACGCATGAAGAATATCATAGATCATGTGTTAAGACACAAAGCATATCCCAACAGTGACTGCAGACTAGAATCATAACAAATATTTTTTTCTGAGGACAATAGCATGACACTAAAACTGAACAGTGAGAGAAAGCTAGGGGAACACACAAATATGTAGAAATTGAACAACAATCTTCTCAAAAATCAATAAGTCAAACAAAAAATCAAGAAGGAAACCAAACACTATCGTGAGACAAAACAAAATAGGAGTACAATATACTCAAATTGAAAGACTCCAGCAAAAACCAGCAAAGTTCTCACATGGTCTCATGTTACTCCTCAGAAAGCTAGAAAGTCAGACAAAGGAAAAGTCAAACATAGCAAAGGGTTAAAAAGTAAGTACAGAATGGAAATAAACAAAACAGAATCTACATAATCAGACTGGCTAGGAAGATGTCTCAGTGGGTGAAGTGTCTGCTGTGTCCAGGACAGACAGGACTGTTGACCAGGGAAACCCTATCTCTAAAACCACCCAAAAATGTGTGTGTATGTGTGCTCTTGGAGGCCAAAAGTGGTTGTCAGATACCCTGGAGATAGGTTGCAGATGGTTGGTAGCCTCCCACCATAGATGCTGGGAACCAAACTCTTAATGACTGGGCTATCTAAGTCTAAATCTAGATCTTAAACAAATATCTGAGGAACAGAAAAAAAATCACAAGTCACAGATCCTGGGACAGAGCTCAGAGAAAGCCCTGTGAGGCCAGTAATGAAAGTGAGAGAGCCAGACATTGACAACATAAAGGCATCATACCCCTAATTTCAAACTACAGTTTGATCTAAAAGCTGTGTAAGGGATACTCAATCTGTGTGCAACAAAGCTGTCAGAATTAAAAGCAGAATAACAGCGGCATAAAATAGACAACCCATAAAGAAACCCAGTGTAGCCTTTGAAGACAGTTGCTTTTGAGAATGTACAAAGGGTTAAGGATACTGTTTTCAAGAATTGCTGGTGGTAAAACACAAAAGAATAAAATTAGACCTTTATTCCAGTACAGTAACCGAGTCAAAATTAACTTTAAATATATTAAATGTGATACCCAAACCTATAGACCTAATAAAAGAAGTAGTGGGCATTGGTCTGGCTAATAGTTTCCTGAACAGCATTCCAAAAGCATAAGCAGAATATCAAAATGCAAGGGTGGGTGTACCTTAAAGGTCAAGTGCTCAATTAGCATGTATGAAGCCCTAGGTTCAATTCCCAGCAATACAAAAACACATACAAACAAAAGTAGAGTAACAGGCTTGCATCAAACTAAAATGCTTCAGCATAGGTAAGGAAACAATCAGTGCAAAAGGGAAAACCGTATCTCACAATAGCTAGTTCCCAAAATATACAAAGAACTCACAAGTCAGTATCAAGAGAGCAAACTTGTTAAAAATGGGTAAGAGACATTGCCCCAAAGAAATGATATTTATGGTCAACAGATGAAAACAGATAATGTGAAGCAACTCTAATCATCGGGAAAATCCAAACTAAAAGAACAATGAAGCTAGGCATGGTGGTGTACAACTTTAGTCCTAGCACTCAGGAGGTAGAAGCATGAAGATCCCCATCCAGAGGCTGTCTGTGCTACAAAGCAAGACTCTGTCAACAAAAGGGAAAGAAAGGAGATGGAAGAGAAGCATGAAGAGATGGGAGGGGAGAGAAAAATCACAAAACAACTCACAGAGCTTTTTCACTTCATACATAGTAAACAGCTGCTATCAGAAAGATGACTGACAACAGATATTGGAGAGGATATAGACAAAAGGGAATCTGTGCATACTGTTGGAAGGAATATAAATTGCAGCATTCTTCAAAACCAAAATATGGAAACTACCTAAATGTTTATCAATAGGTTACGTGAATAAAGAAAATATGGATTATTAGACTAGGGATATAACTGAGTGGTCGCATGATTACTTAGCATGTGCAAAGACCTAGACCCAATCCCTAGCATTAAAAAGAAAAAGAAGAAAGTTCCATGTATAATATGTCCTTTTTGAAAATAAAATAAAAAGGAAATTTCATCATTTGCAACAACACAGATGGACAAATGTCTCATAATCTTACTTATATGGAATCTAGAGATGTACAGCTTTGTGGGTTTACAGCCTTGCCTCAGTACCAGTTCAATTTCTCTGCTTTGTATTTTGACTTGTTTCAGAGAGAGTCCACAAGCTTCCCTGGTGGTTTTAAATCTGTGTAAGCCTTTATTTCAGTTATGAGAATAGGAGACCAAGAAGTTGCAAACACCTGGCCTGAACCTTGACCATCAGTAACAGGCCTGGTAGGGCACGCCTGTAATCGCAGTACAAGGAGGATGAAGTGGGAGGATTGTGAGTTCAAGGCTATCCTAGACTATACACAAGATCTTGTTTCAAAAAAGTGTGCTCCATAAATACAGACAACTATTATTTGTCAATTAGAATAAATTTTACCTGGGGGAATAACTTAATAGTAGAGTCATTAGTAATAGAGCCATGTTTAGCATGCACAAGTCCCCGAGTTCAATACTGAATACCAAATAAATAGGTAAATAATTATTTTTAAATTATTTCTAAAATAGATTTCTAAATTATATTTGTATGAAAATTTTATAGTGACACAGTCTCTTGAAAGGGTCATTTCTCTTTAAACATTAAAAGACAATCAAGGGTTGTTGAGATGACTCAGTGGGTAAAGGAACTTGCTGCTGTGAAAAAGTTTGGTGACCTGAGTTCAATCCCTGGCATCTGTACAAAGGTAAAAGAGAAACCACTCTACAAAGATGCTCTCTGATCTCCACATTCCTGCTCTGGCAATGTGTTACACACACACACACACACACACACACACACACACACACACACACACACACACACACCACGAATATGTCCACAACAATAAATAACAAAAAATAAGATGATAACCCAAAATCACATCAAGATACAACAGGAAAACCAGTGTTCCCATTTACTAGAAGGTAAAAGGCCCAGCCATGTGGAACAGAAAATACAATCATGAAGGAAGATTTGAGAGTATGACTTTTGCAAGAAAGGATACTGGATTCCCCAGGCTCACTGACAATGAGCTAACCATTATCACACTATCCTGGATCCCACAAAATGTTTTGTCAATTCAAGGTACTTTCCTGTCCATCCAGGGCCCTGGGAGGTAAACTGGTCATTCTAACTATACTCAAGTGAAAAGACTGGAGGGCAAAAAGCTATTCCTTAGAGAAACTTTCCTGTGAAATGGACCCATACATCAATCCCTGTGTCCTACTGAGTTTGATAGTTACTGAGTATCATGAGTTCTAGGTCAGCTTCGGTTTCATAGTGAGTTTGAAGCCAATCCCGACTATATGCTGAGACCAGTTTTTTTTTGAGACAGGATCTCTATATGCAGTTCTGACTGGCCTGGTACTAATTATTTATAATTATGTACACTTATACAGAACTTCCTGTCTTTGCCTCCCAAGTGCTGGGCCTAAAAGGTATGTGCCACCATGCCTGGTGTGGTGAGAACATCTTTAAAAGCAACCAAACCATCAGAAACAAAATGGTGCTTTACTTCTAATAGTCTTCTCACACTCACATATTCTCAATATAAAAATGAGAAAAACAACAGACAAATCCCAATCCGGGGTTGTTGGGGAAATCCTGTATATATGTCAATAAAGCACTGTTGGCCAATAGGGAAGCAAGATAGGTGGGACTAGGAGTCCCGGAGGACTCTGGGTAGGAGAAACACAGGAAGTCATGGGGTAGGGAGCCCGGAAATTTCTCCGGTAAAAGAAATACTTAGATTTACAATTATGGGATAAATACTTAAGTCAGAGCTAGCCAGTAAGAAACAAGCAAGGCCAACAGCTTCATAATTAATATAGCCTCCTGTGTGTTTATTTGGGATTGATGCGGCTCTGGAACCAGGCTGGCGGGAAGGCTTCTCTTTACACGGGGTTATTATGCAAAACATTCAGTTGGGCCCCATTCTCAACTGTTAAGATCATGGAGAGCAGGGAATGTCTGAGAAAGTATCCCTGCCTGAAGAACCTACAGGGATGATAATTCAGATAAAAAGTATGAGCTCTGCAGCACAACAGGCAGCTCATTGGGCTCCTAGATGGAAACTAGGGAAAGCTAGTAATATATGGATAGTGGTTAATAATAGAGTATTAGCACAGGTTCTTTCCTTGAGACAAAGCTAATGTAAATGGTACTGACAGGGAAACATAGGTATATTGCATATAGGAATTCTCTGTTGCTTTGTAAATTTTTTTCAAATCTAATTGTTCCAAAAGTTAAATTTTATTAAAAAATCATTTTCCTACACCAAAATTGAGTAATTATCAAATAAAGACGTATATGATATATAACCTCAAAATTGTTAAAGAAAAAACTGAAAAACAACATAAGCATAGTCGGGTGTTGGTGGTGCATGCCTTTAATCCCAGCACTTGGGAGGCAGAGGCAGGCGGATCG